TTTACAGTCCTTCTATTTATGTAAAGGATACAACAGGGGTTGTCAGCTTTTATAGGTCCCACTCCCGGTCATTGTGGGTCCAGTGATCATTAATGTGCGGCCCTGCCTGGCACAGTTTTTTCTTCACAACAGTCCGAACAGGGCCTGCACCTTCAGCCTCAATCCAAATTCATTCCTATGGATAAATCCTCACCCCATTTGCCGTATTCCTCAAAATAAAGTTGTTCTTTAACAAACTGATGGATTACACAAAGTCTGGCAGCTAGGTCATTAATGTCCGTAGACTTGAAGAGAAACCAAGCCAATGAGCCATTAACATACAGTGCACGGCAGTAAAACAAACAGGCTGGAGCATCAGTTGGCCCTTGATCCGCCCCCACCAGCTTGGCAGCCAGCTCAATGCTGCCACCACCCAACGTCCCTATGCAGGAGCCCTAAGAATTGTCTGAATCCAGGAATCAAAGGAGTGAATTTCTCAAGCATGGCAGAAACCTTTCACAGTTTTATTTAATTAACAGAACAAAGAAAAAACAAATTTTGGCTCGGTCGAGCGCAGAAGCCCTTTAATCCTTCAGTTAAATGTCACCTCCTTCTCTCTAAATTGTATCAACTGTCAGCGCTAATCAGGATCATTGAACGCTGACTCGACGGGGACCTTGTAGGCGGACTGATGAATGCTTCCAGAGGTGCAAATATGTTAGCAAATAAATACCCAAACAGTCATTTATTCTGATCAATGGTGTGTTTAAAGGGAGATTTTCTCCGCTCAGCCTGCACAATAGATTGCCGTGCCATTAAGCTGAGCTTCAAGTTTTGCTTGCTTATGATTCAGGCGTAGATTGGAAAATATTTCCTGCAAATACATTGTGCTTTCAATTGCTCTCGGCAGTCACATGACTCTACAACTAAGTAAAATTAAAAAAAGCTATTTGCTTGTTTTGGATGCAGTAATGAACTCCAGGCAAACAGCTGAATACACAGATTACATTCATATATGGGAGCTGTATTGACTGCCAAAGGATCTGTATTTCTGTCCACCCAGTCCTGGAATTTACATGACTCTGCCACACACAACCCAGCCCTGCCTGGCCGTGGATGGAAACAAGTCTTTATTTGCAATAACATACAGTCCACGGCAGTAAAGCAAACTGGCTGGAGCATAGGGTTGCCACCTGTCCAGGATTCACCCGGACAGTCCGGGTTTTGAATGCTGTGTCCAGGTTTCATGGCAGTTGAAACCCGAACGCATGATGTCAGGCAGACAGGGGCAACCAAAATTAAGATAGGGGCTACTGGCCTCCCACTAAAAATAGTCTCGACTGTGATATTTACATATGAATGGGTGACGAATAAGCGGCGACTCATTCTCCCCCCAAAATTTCTGTGTTTCGCTAGAAGAAAGGTGGCAACCCTACTGGAGCATCAGTTGGCCCTTGAGCTGGCCCCCACCAGCTTGGCTGCCAGACCAATGCTGCCACCACCCAAAATCCCTGGGCAGGAGCCCTTAGAATTGTCTGACTCCAGGAATCAGAGGAGGGAATTTGGCAATGGCCTTTCGCAGACTTTTACTTATTGGTCTGCTCCCCACCCCCTGGCATGTACAGTCTTGCAGTTCACAGTGGTCCATGTTGCAGAATGCCCAGAACCCAGTTTTGGCTAAGTTCCCTGCCCGCAGCTGCACTTAAGCAAAGGGGTGGGATGTGGTGATGTCATTGACCTTATATGGCTACATTAGGTAAATGACAGTTACCTAATATAGCCATAAAAGGTAAATGATTTCAGCACAAGCATCCCACCCCATTGTTTATGGGGCCTCCCACCCCTACATGAGCCTCCTGCCCAATCAGCTGTGGGTTGGGGAAGTCCTACCCTGCAACTGATTGGGTGGGAGGTAGCTTTCGCATTTGTAGGAGCTTAGGTTCGGATCGGGTTTGGTCTGACCCTGAGCTCATCCCTGTTAAAGATGTATTCCAGGCAGATATATGACAGATTAATGCAGCTCTGAATCATGAATGCACCATGAAATATGTTTATATACAAATGCAAACAGTGTAAGTATCCAATTTGACTTGATATCACCCTCCTGCAGTTTCTGTCCAGCTGAGCTCAGAGAGGGGTAGAAGCTGCATAAAGAGCCAGTAGGTTGCGTTGTAGTGCAAGGTGCATGTTGACGGGAGGCGAGAAGAAAGTGACACAAAGCTGAGCTTATTAGCATGCCACTTATCTTTTTATGGTGCAGTCCCTGGCGGGGAGGAGACTTATAAGTGAGGGCTTGTTAACACCACCTGCAGAGCAGTGCAGAGCAGTTACAAAACGCATCAAAAATGCATCCAGTGTATTCCAATGGTATTTTGGGCTCTAGTTCACACCACAGCGTTCAGTTCCAGATAATGTGGAAAAACTGCAGCAAGCCCTATTTGTTTCTGCTCTGGAACGCACCAAAATGCATGCAAACGCATCAAAAATGCATCAAACGCCCTGGAACGCACTGAAAGCCCATTGTAAGCTAAAAAAAAATACAAATAACATAAAAAACGCACTGCACTGCATCTGCAGAAACTCATGCAGATCTGGTCCAGATTTGGTGTGAACAAGCCCTGAAAGTTAAACTGCAGCAGAAAAAACATCAGTGCCCCTACCCAGCTAAACAGGGCTGTTCTGTGTGGCAGTGCTATGTAAATCTCAGAACTGGATGGACAGAAATACAAATCCTTTGGCACGTAAAACAGCTCCCTTTATATGTATTTCCTTTGTGTACTTAGCTGTTTGCCTGGAGCTCAGCTTTGAAGGGGTCCACATGTGGAAGATTATCGAGCAAGTGTGTCATCTTACAGAAATCACGAGTCTGGATCCAAGAATAATACCATAAAATATCATTATAGCTTTATTTAAATTCTCAAAACATAAGAGTCAGGAAAGTACGTGACAAGACAAGCTTGGGAACGAGGAGAGTTTGTTTAAACATAAAATGTATGGTAATAATAGATAAGAGATAATGAGTACGGTGCTGTCATCAAAAACCACTCCGGGGCAAAAATTATTTACAGTAAACATACTTAACGCTTCGTAACCTGAAGGCGTGTCAAAAGCAGAGGCGGTATCACGCAAGCTTGTTCCATACATCGTGTAATGCAACACAGTAATACCAAGCAACCAATCACAATTCAAACTATAGTAAGCTAGAATGTGATTGGTCGCTGTGGAGAACACTTCTCTTTGTTCTCTGGACCGGGATATTGAATAAGCCGGTCTTATACAAGCCAAAGCCTGTGTGTACAAGGTCTCTGAACATTGAGAACTGATAGAAACTTAAAGGAGAACTATGAGGTGAGTGAAAATCACTCAGCCTCATAGTTCGAGCACACGTGTGACAATGAAACTGTCACACATCGGCTCAATAGATCGGGAAGTGAGCGAATGCATACTGTCGCTCGCTCACTTCTCGATCATGTCCCTGCAGAGAGCGATGACTGTCAGTCATGGCTCCCTGCAGGCATTCCCCCCTCCCCTGTCCGATCCTCCAGCACTGACTGGGGGGCGGGTACAGCGGGCTCTGCCTCTAGATAGGCAGAGCCCCCTGTCATTTACGCAGCTGGGTGGATCTTGACAGTAATGGCGGGATCCGTCCCAGCTGCGGCGGTCTCAGTATACGCGACATACTGAGCTTTGGGTCATGGGAGGATGCTGGTATATAGTATATATCCTCCCGTGACCCATAAGAGAACTATGGGGAAACATACTTACCCCATAGTTCTCTTTTAAACTTTACTGGAAAGCAGTCACTTATGAGAGAACTTTAATTGAATAAACATGAAATATTTGTAAGGCACCACTGAAAAAACTACTCCCAGGGATGATATGGATTAAAGTGTATGTAAATCAAAGAACTAAAATGCATTATATTGTATCCTTAGATGTGGTGGCTGCATTAGTTTTCCTTTTTAAGGATTTTATCCTTTATTACCTGCTGATCTTGGCACTTCCTGTCCTAGGGTGGCAACTAGGAATGATCTCAGGTTCGGACCAAATCTGGTTCGAATCAAAGTTACTCCGAAAAGGGAGGGAGCTCCTCTGAACAGGGAGGGAGCTCCACAGGATATTCACGGATCCGTTAAGGAGTGCAGCAGGATACAACCTTTTGAAGTTAAAAGTGAATCCCCTGCACTGCTCTTCTTCACTGAAAACGTAACTTTAAGACTTGAATTACTTCATACTGAGGTTACGTAGGATAACCAGCCAACCCTTTTTCGGGCTCAAGCACTACATCCAAGCTTTACAATCTGTGTAGACTGGAATGGTGGGGCTTTTATCAATGGAAACACATAGTTGGCTGGAGCTTGTCCAAAATTAATATTGTCTATACCTAATAGTAGGACATCCTTTGGACTCTATGACGATTGGTGTTACATTTACCACCGCTGTACTCTAATCAGGGTGCCCCTTTGAATCCCCTGGCTTATGAGGCCTGCCTTACTAAAGCCTAGAACTGTTTTTGATTTACAGGGTTATTCACAAAATGGTGAAGAGTTTGGAGAAGGCAGGAGAAGTGAACAATCTAGGACAACATAGCCGATTTGGAAAAATTCTCCAATTCAGCTCAATATCCAGTTCAGCTATGTTGTCCTAGATTGTTCACTTCTCCTGCCTTCCCCAAACTCTTCACCCTTTTGTGAATAACCCTGATAGTCATTGACAGTATCATCAGAGCTGTCGTTGTCAGGTACCAAAGAAAGAGGTTTCCAAGGGTCTCCATCAAACTTTAGCTATGGGGCCCCATGGTCTGTAGTTACGCCCCTGATAAAAAGTATGAGGGCTTCACAAACAGGTTTTTTTCTTTTCAGGTATGGCTGATTTGTAAACATATGAGGATATTTTAGATACACATACTGCTTAGTGATGTTCCAAATTTCCCATTAAAATGCATGTTATTATAGGAGATCTGAGTAGAGTTATGTTCCCAGTAGCAATTCAAAGCAATAAGAAGTGGAAAAAAAAAAAAGCTAACAGGAAGACAATTTCTCTTCTTGCTTTTCAGAAGGACCATTAGGGTGGCTGCTACTATCCTGAGCCTTTTTGCAGCACAAAACAGCACTAAGTGTCTCTTTAATACTTTTGGACAGGAATCCATAAAGGACTGGATAGACACAACTTTTCAAGTAGGGTATGATGCTGATAATGTAATAGGACCCTTCGCTTAGTTCCAGATCCCCAACAGTGGCTGATATCATTTCCAGGACGTGCGTGGGAAGCCAAAAGACAAAATACACAAGCATTAGACCCGAAATCATGATGATGCTCTCCTTGATGTTCCCAGAACTTGATTCGGTTGCCTTGTCTTGGTTCCGTAACCGAACGCCCGATAGGATGAGAAACATGCATGTCACCAACACAGGGAACAAAAAATCCAACACAAGTCTGTATGATATGAAGGTCAAGTTCCAGAAGGCAGAAGGGTAGGGCCAAAGGATCTGACAGCTGGAAGTCTCAGTATGATCAGCAAACACATAAAGAGGGATCCCGAGCAACAGGCAGACAACCCATACAGTACCACTGGTCGTTAACACCACTTGAAGTCTAAGGCTCTTCTTCGAAACTTGCGGGAAATACTGCTGAATGAAGACATCAATGGACATGATGGTCAGGAAGTAGACATTGCTAAATGGTATTAATGCTGTTAAAATCCAGAAAAGTATGCACATAGGTTTCCCCAGGGGCCAATAACCACTGGCGATTTCCGAGGCAAAAAACAAAAGACATAACATGTGGAGGATATCGCCTAAAGCCAGACTGAACACATAGAGGTTGGTGGGAGTCCACATCTTTCGAAAACGCAGGATCACAAAGAGGACCAAGGCATTTGCCACAAGGCCGAAGGCAGAGACAAACAAGTAAGGGATGAAGGTTAGCGACTTCTCTTTTGTGACGTCCGTTTCATTGAAATCATAACCGTAGAAGCTCAAATTCAATTCTAGATCTGGAATCGTTTCGCCTATATAATCCATCTTTTTTTCTAAAAAACAAAACAATCACATTATTTTCAATGGCCGAAGCATATTTATAGCTTGGGTAAAGCGGGGAAGCATTTCTTTTTCTGTTTTATTTTTGCATTAACCCACATCAAGTTTTTTTTTTTGCTGTCTGTGTCCTGGTTGGGAGATTTCTGTTCACATGCTGTACTGGGAGGGAGGGGGAGTCTACTTTTAGACACTTATTACCAGAACAAGTGTCACCATTGGTGGGTGACATCTGTAATACTTTGGATTTCCATTGCTTTCTGACCTTTGGATGACAGTGGTCACCAGGACAAACAGAGAAGGTGAAACTTATCAGGGGGCACAGAGACAACAAAAGTAGCTTGATAGGGGTTTCATTTTTTTCCCTACACTATCCAAAACAATAAAACATGCTTTATACAGTATATACATTAAATGCTGCCTATGTCCTATTCATGAAGATTTTTTTCTCACAGGTTCTAAAGTCTGACTGTGTTTCTAATATAGAAACATCCTCTCACTTTTTAAACTGTCTGACGCCGGTCATGTGGACAGGAAGTGAGGAGAAAATCCAGCATGCAGACAGATAGCTATATAATACTGGGTGTGCAAGGAGGAAAGTGCCAAATGTAGAACATATTCTCTCTCTCTCTCTATATATATATTGCAATATGGGCGCTAGGTGGAGCTGAGATGAATAGGATAAATCCAAGCAAACCCAAATATTATCTTATAAAAGTAGTAGTAACATCATCACTGTGCTGCACATGCCGGGGCAGAGCTGTGGAAGGGGACCAGCAGACCCCACCCACTACAGGCTGCCTGAAGAAACTACAGGAGGGGCGGAGACAAGACCAGTCACCCTTGCACAAGGAGAGAGAGCAGCAGTGAGCGGTCTTTATTACAGGAAGGGGTGGAGTTAACACCAGTCACCCTGCACAAGGAGAGAGAGCAGCAGTAAGCGATCTTTATTACATGAGGGGGCGGAGACAAGACAAGTCACCCTGCACAAGGAGAGAGCAGCAGTGAGCTGAAATCAGCCGTACATTGGGTGGCTTCGACCCGAAGTGCAGAAAGAGTTCGACTCAGCCAATCCAACATCTGGATCGGCTAAGCCGAACCTCCGGCAGGCTACTCGCTGCTGTTCGGTCTATTCTTATAGATGCCGAACAGCAGTGAGTGAATTGCTGAATGCCGCTGAGCGGCATTCGGCTGGGCTGTTCTGCTAGGTCCCTCTGTGGTACCGAGCAGAACAGAAAAATTGTTTAAAAAGTAGAAAAAAATAAATAGAAAACGATTGTGCGGAGCTAGCAATGACAGCTAGCTCCGCCCAACAGTTTTCTATTGGCTGGCGGTTCTGCTGCCGTCAAATAAAAAGAAAAAAAAAAAACTCTCCCGGGCGCTCTAATTGACAGCAGCCCTCTGCTGCTGTCAATCAGTAGTGGAGACCTGATGGAGAACTGCAGCAGAGGGCAGGTGCAATGCTAGTTTGCTATTGCAAATTGAAATACCCAATAGGAATCTAGCAATGCATTCCTATGGCCAAATTTTTTTTATTTTTTTTCTATTCTGACACGGCTCCGTGTCAGAATAAAGAAAAAAAAGAGGAAAAGCAGTGTTTCTCTCCTTGGTGGCCGGGAGCGCGAGATTTCCGGAGCGCCCGGGAGAGTTTGCTGTCTGGAGATCAGTGTCCCTGGTTAGCTGGTAACCAGGGACGCTGATCTCTCTGCAAGTGGCTTGAGCCAGCCGTAAGATCACGGCTGGCTCCGCCCACCTGTCAGAAGCAGGCTGTCGGCACTGGCCGGCCGCTCGGCCAGCTTCGGCTTTCAGCGCGGCTCAGCCAAGCCAAGGCATATGCCATCGGCTCAACTGAGCCTCTCGGCCAAGTTCGGGAGCTGTACAAGTTATAGTAAATAGCCCGTACAGCAGCCCTTCAGTTCTACTGAACCGAAGGGGTCCTGGGGCCGAAGCTAGCCGAAGGATCGGCCGAAGCTACGGCTAGATCCTTCGGCTGCTTCGTGAATAGACCCCTTTGTTTATGAGCAGCAGTTAATTTACTATTAGTGACAGAACTACTATCGCTCTGTACCAATGACACATATAAGCCTCTCCCTCCTCCTCCATAGAGGTTCACAGGTCTTTGTACTCATTTTGATAAGATGAGATAAGGTGAGGACTCTCAGACACCAAGGGCTCAGGTGATGTCACAGTTTAGAACAATGACATTCTTGCTTTGCATGGACACCAGGAAGGAGATTGCTGGATAGTGTCAATAGCTTATCCTAGTGAGCAGCTTATGGTACAGTTTGTTCCTGTTCTCAATAACAAATGCCTGATCGATAGTACTGTACAGACACCATACATGGGGAAACATGAGACAGTACTTTGAGGGCAGTAATCCAAAACACAAGATAGGAACCTGTCGGAATGGGAAAACAGAAGCTGAGGAAATTGAAGGGTCAGATGTCACATGAAGTATGCCAGTTAATGGCCAAACTCACATATAGGCTTCCATCTTGCCCCTTCATAGCAGACGTGTGCGATTCGTTTTGTTCCGAATCGAAATTAGGACACATTTTTCAGAAATTTGGACATTCAGACACATCCGAATTTCCAAATCCTAATGCATCCGAATGTGTTCAAATACAAATTTCCTTTTCCGAATTTCGGATCCCGTCTGAATTTCGTTCAAAAATTAAACTGAATCAAGCATGTGCCTTTTCTGGCCAATCAGATGTATTTTTCGGTTTAATGCAACCAAATGGGTCTGAACAGGAATTTTTCATTACAGCAACATGGGCGCCATCTGATTGGCCAGAAATGTCACATGCCCTAATGAAAATTCGTGTTCAGTATATACATATAATACTAAAGCTGAGGCTCCTAGACCCGAATGGCATTCGGGATCTAAATTTCTGAATTGCATTGGTGAGCTCCCGATTGCCATTCAAGTCTAGGAGCCTCAGCTTTAGTATTATATGTATATGGATCCCAGACCCAAATGGCATTTGGGATCCGAATTTATGAATTGCATTCGGGAGCTCCCGAATGCTATTCAGGTCTGGGAGCCGTATACTGTACATATACAGTATCACTAAAGCTGAGGCTCCCAGACCCAAATGGCATTCTTTAGCTCCCGAATGCAATTCGTAAATTCGGATCCTGAATGCCATTCGGGTGTAGGAGATTCAGCTTTAGTATTTATATCTGTATATGGTCTTCTTTGGTCTTCGCAACGAATATATATACGAAACTTATCCAAAGCTAACGAAAATTCGGATTTTGTCCGAATCCCAAACTGGAATCTAACTGAATTTCATTTCCAAATCCCGAATTATGAAATATACAAACCAAACCGAATAGCAGTGAGCAGAGGGTATTGTCAGGCAGTTGATTTTACATGACCTCTGACCCCTAAAACTCAAGCAAGTGTTAGGCTCAGACAAAGTAGGGCAAACTAAATAAGAGCTAAATTTTAAGATTTCAAAAACCAGGCTGCACATTGATAATAACTAAAGATTGCTCAGATGTAACTGGTTCTGGTGGTACTTTAATCCTGACCAGTTCCAGTGGTCTAGAGCTTGGATCAACCACTCTTCAACTTCGTCTCTTAGTCAATGGCCATTGAGACTGCCCGATTCTATGGTCCAGCAGTGATGCTATGGAGTAGAAGGTAGAAGGGAGGTAGAAAATCTCCAGCCTACCCTTCCGTAGCTGGTCAAAATCTGGATAATAGAGAGCCCTGGGCATTAAGGTTCCTTATGTGTTCTGCATGACCTGGAAGTCAAGAAGGCAGCTCTAGGTGCCTGCTTTTCTTATAAGGTGACAATTTGGATTAGATTAACCCCTCGTGCCCAAAATACAACTTTATAAGTCCAAATGTTAAATGCCCCTTCCCGTGAGAACGCTAATTTACTTTGTAGAAGAGAACCTGGAATGCACAAGTAAGTGTGTGTGTGTGTGTGTGTGTGTGTTCGTAGTTCTAAGATCTGCTGTCAAGCAAAAAAAAATAAATCATATAAATGATTGTCAAGATAATTGACTCAGCCAAACTTGGTCTGGGCCAAGAAACTCTGGTCACGAAAGGGTAAAATTGAACCGGTGCTTTATTTCAGCAGTCTCTTTGAAGTGCCAGACTAAATGTTTTCCACCTGTAATGCATTTCCTATGTATATAATGAATCTTCTCATACAAAGTACCTTTTTATCCCTTTGTTAGGAATCTTCATTTTGCTCTGCCCTTTGGACTTGCTCACTTCTTTTTTTCTTTTGATCATACTGGAAGGGAGATTTCCCCCCTGCAGTCATTTATCTCTCTGCACCCTCCTGCAATTCCACAATAGGGGTGTCACTCTCTCCGATGCATTTGTTGATTGTACATTATGAGGAATTCATTGTGGGAGAGTGACACCATCATTTGCTCTTGCACAGGTTGTGGTGATTAAGCAGAACTTGGAATTCTGTCGGGGATATCTTATCCCCGAGGGATACAACAAACCAGTATGTAATTCAGTAAACACTCCGATCTGCAATCAAATGATTGGTCCGTGATGACCTCTCAATCACTATCAATCTATTGTAGTTCATGAGAGAATCACATGGAAGAAAGTTCATGAATGAGTCAAACTTTCTTTTTAAAACTCTCTCTAATGAAGGAATTTCATTCTGGTTTGATGAACCCCCCCCGCCCTTCTTGACCAGGAAAATATCTCCAGGCTGCTAGCGAGTGTCAATAGATTCTCTTTGATGGGCATAATACAGAAGCCGATTATACTGTCTGTGGTATGCGAGAAAGTATTGTATTAACTCAGCTGGTCCGTCTCCTGTTACATTCTCCGGAGCAGAATTCTTCTGGAGGAGAAAATATCACAGGAAATAAACCTAAATAATTAAACAAATGGTAGCAGGTAGAGCTTTCCCTTCTGTGTGTCTCCTCTGCCATAAAACCTCTTTCCTCTACTGACAAACTGCTTTTAGCATGTGCAATGTAGTGTATGATTCTGGTAGGAG